CCCGCAGTACCATATAAGGAGGGGAAAGGAGACTTGGAACTTAGCATGTAAATAGTCCTCATGGAGAAGCAAGCCCACCGGCGGATGTCATGGAAGGTGGGCAGGTTTGTTGAATCAGGAAAGTAAAACAAGCAGCAAAGCGCCCCGGCCGGCACCATCTACAGGCGGGGGACAGAATTAGAGGGAAATTACCTTCCTCCAGAGTCTCTCCTACTCACAGGGTGCGCCGTTCCCAAGTCAATCCCCACCAGAAATGCACCTTCCCCCTACCAAGCCAGCCTCCTCCCTTATATCTCGGGTCCCTCTGATTATTAACTGCAGCTGGAGGACTCTCCGTCCAGGGCTGATGCTTCTGGCAGGTGTTCCTGATTTAACTCCTTGTCTCCAGGCCAGCTCGTTAACCCCCTGGCGCCCTGACCCCAGCACTTTTGGGGCTGCTCCTGGGAGTGGAGCCCAGCAGGTGCAGAAGTGCATGCCAGTGAAGGGAAAGCGCCTTTGTGATTGCGGGATTGGGGGCTGCGGTTGCCAAGTCAATCAGAAAAAAAAAATATGAAGGGTCCAGGTGAGTCCAGTTTTCCACAGCAGTGCTCATTTAGCCATGGCGCATTTTTATTCCCCCTGCCAAAAAAGGCAGATGAGCATGTTTAGTAAGTAAGTGTGGTGATTAAGCCTGCAGGATCTGTGATGGTGCTGTGGGAGGAGCCTGATTTTCAATGTTTTGACTGGTTTCCTGAAGGCCGTGGTTCTCAAAGCGTGGTCCGAGGACCACCAGTGGTCTGCGACCGTCTTGCAGGTGGGCCTCGGGCTCCAGCCCTGTGCCCCTCCCCCCCCCAGATGAGCATGTTTAGTAAGTAAGTGTGGTGATTAAGCCTGCAGGATCTGTGATGGTGCTGTGGGAGGAGCCTGATTTTCAATGTTTTGACTGGTTTCCTGAAGGCCGTGGTTCTCAAAGCGTGGTCCGAGGACCACCAGTGGTCTGCGACCGTCTTGCAGGTGGGCCTCGGGCTCCAGCCCTGTGCCCCTCCCCCCCCCGTGAGACTGGCTTTCCGCTCTGGGAATTTGGGGGGGGGGGGGGGGAGGAAGCGGCTCCATACACTGCTGCTCCCTTTCCTCCAGATAGCACAGGAAACCACTGACCTGGAGGCTTTCCCCCGCAGCTCCCATTGTCCAGGATCATGACCAATAGGAGCAGTGGTGGGCGGTGCCTGGGAGCAGCAGGAGGCACAGAAGCAGGTAAGCACCCCACCAAGACCCTTCACTCTCAGCCTCCTCCAGCCCCCTCCTTCTCGCCCAGACACCCCCACCCCACTCCTGCTCCCTTTCTATCACCATGGGCGGCTGGCCGGTGGTCTGTGGAAAGGTGTATGGGGGGCAGAGTGAGCCACGGGCTAAAAAGTTTGACAGCCATAACGTTCTAGGCAGGGCCAAACCCTGCTGGCCCTACTCCCTAGATAGCCCGATTGGCTCTAGAGAGGTTACCCAAGCGAAGGTGAGTGGGGTTTGCTGCAGAAGAAGGTTGGATGTGGCCCCTGGCTTGCCTGGATCTGGCCCCTGAGCCTCAGGGCTCCTCCTGCTCTAAAGTTCTCATCT